GGACAAGGCCAAACCGACTCAGCTCGTCGCCCTGATCAAGAATATATATACTTTGTGGGGTCTGCCACGCCTCCTTCTGCCTGTTACATACTTTTAACAAACCCATTATACCCTGATTTCCAGGTTCAGGGTTCAGGGTATAAAAAATATGTAGTTAATTCTACTTGAAAAATAAAAACAAACATAAATACTACATGTAAAAAATCATTACAAATCAATATTTGGAGCATGAACCCTGTTTACTCTCATAAGGATACGCACACATACAAATGAAGGCAGTGTTAGAGTAAATTAAATGTTCCGTCGTGTATACATATAAAACTGTACGTGTATATATAAAATATCAGCTATATACGAGCCATTAGCAGACGAGCATAGAAGCCACGATCGTTCAGCAGCTTTGCGCAATTCAGCCAAGAGTTCTTATAGATCAGAGTCAAGGGGCCGCAGACATTATCCCGGGTAAAGTCACACTTTTCGCACAGATTCGGCAGGAAGCGCACCTCCGAGTAGGTGCCACTGGCCAGGGTGTAGGTGAGGCCCAGGGCGCCGCGACAGGTGTCCGGTGATTCGAGGCAGAGCTGAAAGAGAAGGCCGCATGTGCAGTTCGCCTGATCGGCCGGCTCCTCGACATCATCGGGCGTCTGCCACTTGAGCTGGAAGGACCAGCTCTGGCTGAAGGCCTCAAAGAAGCTGCAGATCTTTATAGTGTTGCGCGGAAAGCCCTCGACCTGTGGCAGCAGCTGGAGCAGCCGCACCGTGATATTCGGCAATTGCAGCAGCTTCATTATCTTGCTCAACAGACACTGTTTGGAGTCGCGCTCCGCTTGCAGCTGCTGCAGCTCCTCCAGCAGCTGCACTCCCCGCTTGCTCCGATACTCACACTCCTGCTCATGCTCGGCAGCCGCCTCGCCCAGCACGCCCTTCCATTTGCAGCCGATGCGCCGGTACTTGCACGCCACCAGCCGCAGAGGGCAATCCGTCTGGCAGTGGATGCGCAGAAAAGCGCGCTGCAAGCTGAATCCACAGGCCTCGCAGGCTACCAGCACCTCAGCCAGTCGACGCTCGCCCTGCAGGTTGCGAAAGGGCTCATGCCGATAGATGCGCACACTGCACTGCGGACAGGTGCCCAGCTGCGCGCCCAGCATCTTGTCCAGCACGCGCATCTGATAGCATCCCGCACAGATGATGTGCTGGTATTGGCACTGATAGAGCGTTGTATAGGGCAGCGTCTTGCATACAATGCAGCGGAATGCTTCTATCTCGCTCGGATCGCCCTCGATGTGGCCGCTCGGATTGGGCACATTTGACATCTCATCATCCGTATTGCAGTAGTATGATATGGTTATGTTTCTTTGTGAGATTACGGATGGAGAAAGTGTGGGAATGCTCGGGATCATCTCTGACGGCTCATCACTATTCTCGGCCGTCTGCTCGTTCTCAATGGACATCTTAACGAATTTTTGTTGTATTTTAAATATCACGAATTATATATGTAAGTATACGTATATATATTATATATACGTTAATATATATTGAAATATATATGTGAATGTAGTGAGGAAGTGTAGGGTAGTGTTGTTGCTGTCAGATATCAATCTGACGCTTCAAATCAAAGCTAGCTTCGATTTGAATAGAATTCTACAGTGAAAAACAAAAAAAAATACAGGAAAATTCTGAAAAATTCATTAGACAATTTACTAGCATACACTCCAATTGGAAATTGCAAACACCTAGAGGTAATGCTCCATTATCAATAGAATAAACTGGAGGAGTAACTGTTTCATAATTGAATTTATTTCAAAGTGATCCAAGCTCTGCCCTCATCTCAAAAAGAAACCTCATTTGAAAGAAATATAGAAGAGATATATGACATACTCAAGATATATATAATATACTAATATCTGAAACACAGTAAATATTTATGGTTTTATTTTAAGCAATTTTTACCACCTTTTGTGTTTCGTGCTGTGAATGAAAGCCACATGCGAGCTTCTTTTGTTGTCGATAAATTTAATTAAATGCTTTTTAATTAGTTTTTACACTCAGGGGATCGAACCGAGTGGAAAATCACACAGAGTTCTTTGACTAAGCAGACAGTAATAAAGGACAGCTGCCAGCCGGAGTTCATAAAAAAATGGAAAGCTCCTACAGCTGACTTAAAGTGGAAAAGGAAAAGACTGAGAAAAACTGGCAGCTGCTTTGGCTAAATAATAAACTGCCCTAAATCATTTCAACAAATGCCAGCCACGTGATTTCCGCCTGCTGCACGTGCCACAACGGGCTCTAAATGCCCCACCCCTGCCTCGCCTCACAGCTGCCAAAGCAGAAATTATTGGCAACGCGCTTAAGCGCAATAAATATGGTTGATTGCTGGCAACGAGCCAAAAATACAAAGCAAAACAAAAACAAACAAAAAATACAAATTTCAGTTTCTCTAGTGCATTTTCAACATTTTGCCGTGAACCGGTCCGCCGATGCATATCCAGCATATCCTGCTGCTCCTGCCGCCAATTTGTAATTCATTATTTGTAAATCGCTGCAAGCTGTTTACACTGCAATTTTTAATAGACGCTGACTCCGATCTGTATAACGCACACAAAGCATCGCCAGCAAAACGGATAATAGAAAAACAAGAAAGAAAATCAACGAAAAAGTAAAACGATTTTCTTGCTACATAAATTACTTTCCTTTGTTAGCTGAAGACCAATTTCAGTTTGATTCCAAAAATATTAGTAAACAATAACCCTGAGCTATTAAATGGATAGTAGAATAGTTTGTCGAAGTCTAAACAGATTTTAAATTTTCTTTTAAATCAAAATTAAATACATTTACTCACGCTTTCGATAAAGGATTGAGAGAGAGTTTTTAGACTACTCAAAAAAATCTATATTGGGAGTGTTCAAAATTACTTGCCATAAGTATTTGTTATATACATATAAAATATAAATTTAAGAAAAAAGGATGATAATAATTTTATTGCAAATATTTTAAAATGTATATATAAATATGTATTATGATTTATTTATATACAAATACTAAATTCGCATAAATATTATGAATTGTAGTAATAAATAATAAATAATAAAACTAAATATATTGAATAATATTCTTTTTAATATTGTAGAAAAAAATAATATTAAAAGTCACAATCAAAAACGTAATTCTATTATTTTGAGTTATTTATTATTTTTATTCAATGTCCAATTCTAACAAATCAATTTCCATTGTATAAAATATTATGTTTAAGTAGAAGAGGATAATGCGAAAAATGTAAAACACAACACTTTTGTATACCGTAAATTGATTAAAAATAAAGTGTCCCGTATAAAAAATTATTAAAATTTGCTTTTAAAGGATGTAATTATTTTGTATATGTTTTTTAAAATTAATATTAAAAATGCAAACATTGCATAAACGAATTCAACCATTTTATTAGTAATGCATTTAATGTTAAGTCTCTAAAGAACTGAATATTATAATTACTTTTTCAGTAGTAGTCTTTTGTATAAACTATGCATAATAATATCTAAACGAATTTAAAATTTTGATATACATTAATTGAATTAATATATTGAAAATCAATTCCACTAACTCTGCAACTATTTCTCCATCTTTCAAAGATTTCATAAAAGAACTCTACTTTGTTCGAATACCTTCATAGAATCCCGCTAAGTTTGCAGCGGCCTAAGGACAAACAGGAAACACGAAACCTTATGTATGCCCAAGGAATGTAACCCGCTTAAAGAGGAGCTTGAGCCTGATTGAAATAATGAAATTGAAAAATAAAATAAATAAATATATAAAGAAGGGAAATGTGCAACTATAAACGCTTTTGTGCGCAATTCGATTATTTACGTTACATTTTTTCCAACTTTTATTTTTAATGGTATTTCCCCCTGGCCAAAGGAGTTAGCGTGTTTGGATTGCAATGGAGCTTGTGGCGAGGGAAACCAATTATCTAGTAGCATGGCGTGGCATGCTTCGAGCCAAGGAGTGAGGCAATGCAGCGCAAAGCCAAGAACATACATAAGTATCTGGCAGCTGTGGAGGAGGCAAACAACAAACAAAAGATCAAATTAATGGCCAACTAGCTTCTTTTCATTTTTCTGTCGACCCGTAACAAATACAGCTGGCAGAACTCCACGGGCACGGGGGACAAACATTTGTACAGTTTGGCGGCAGATGGGTTAGCGCAAACATGAGACGCGCTATAAAACCGAGCTGATGCTGCAACAGATGCATCACACACATTTCCGGTGTTCTAGCACAAGCATGTCAAACAAGTTCGCACTGATCTTTGCCCTGGCAGCCCTCTGCTGCCTGGCAGCAACAACTGAGGCAGCTGCTCAGCGGCGCAACGGGCTGACGCGCACGCCCATCGTACAGGAGGATGAGATCAAGTCCACCGATGTGGACAACCAAGAAGAGGACGAGAACCAAATCGAAGAGGAGGCCGACCAGGAGGAGGATCCTGAAAAGACGGACCCAATCGCGGTGCAGTCCAACGAGCATCGCAACACCGCCGTCGATACTAAGCCAAAGCAAACTGTTGCTCGGCCCAGCAACGAGGACGGCCGTGCCAGGCGTGTAATCCGCAGGCGAGGTGGCAAGCGCCGCAACAGGAACAACCGTCGTCGTCGTGGCGGTCGTCGTCGTCGTGCAGGCCGCAAAAATCGCGCTGGCGTCCGTCGCACCGTCAGAAGACGCATGGGCAGGCCACTGAGAGGTTAAGCAGCCAATTCCACACTCAATCAGACACGAAAACACCGACGTACTTAGGCCAATACAATACACACACACACACGAACACACACGCATGTTGAAGCACCGAACTGACTTTTGTGTTATACTTATTTAATTTCCCTTTCAAAAATAATACAAAATCAAAAATATATTTTCACATTTTAACAAAAATCGATATATTTTCAATGATTTAATATATGAAGGAGAAACGGCTTAGATAACAGTAATCCCTTTTCTCTTAATATATCGGGAGTATTTCTCTCCTGGATTGTATTTAATACAGAGTTTTTCAAATGAGCTATCTTAGCCTATGGAAACACTATTTACAAACATTTCTTAATATTCCTAGATAATTTTAAAGAAGAATATCAATATCAAATAATATTATGGGAGAAAGCTTCATTTCATCAATCAATCAGAAGTCGAAGTCAAATGTTGTTGTTTATATTCATATTATTTATAACAATTTCCATTTTAATGTTTCATATATAGAGACTTTAAACACAAAATTATATAGGGAAAATCGATATATTCAATATATTTCTAGAAAATTTTCGAATAGAAAAAATCGTGTAGAAATTATGTAACTTAAATCATTCAAAAAGATTCTAGGAAGATAATTATATTGAATTAGCTATATAAAAATATTTAAAAGACAACAAAAACATCAAATTTATTATATAAAAAAAAGGTGAAATTTCCTTTTTTAATTATTATTTATAAATGCATATTCTCTACTCATTATTTGTATTCTCAGATTCTCATAATTTTATGAATATGTATCTATATTAATCTATTCACATTTATGATAGCCTATATATTTGTATAAGTCATTATTTAGTTTTTAAACGTGCCATAGTTCCCAACCAATTCACTTTCAATCAAATATATTTTTATTGTTTATTCTTTACAATTGTCTTCGAAGCATTTATGAACTACTTTAACTATTGTTTTTATTATTGAACAAGTTTACAGTGAGCTACATTGAAGCGCCGAAACGGGCGGAAGTTTAAAGCGTCAGTTTAATACAGTGCAAGGCGAAAATTCTTTGGATTTCGGAGCGAAGTTTTGCAACAGCAGGCGAAAAATGCCAGTGGCGTAAATGCCAGAGGCCTGCTACTCGTCAGCTACAGCTGAAGTGGGAGCCAGCTTTGGCTGTGCTCTTGGCCTGGCCAACAACTGAGCCGGGCGACGTGACATGTGACAAGAACTTGCCGCGGCTGCCTGCAACACCAGATGCTGCTGCTGCTGCTGTTGCTGCTGCTGTTGCTGTTGCTGCTGGGCTACAAAAATGATGAATGTGCCAATGTTTCTGGCCTGCAGGATGAAAATCTCTTATACTCTGAATGCCTGCCCCTCTGCCCGCCTGTCCTGTACACTCGAGCAAAACTTCTTAGCCAGTGTGTAAACGCAGTTGGGCCGCAACTTTCTGTGGCCGCCGTCAAGCTGCAGCACTCTTTGGTGTATTGGGCAACACTTGGTGCAATGCACAGAATCCTTGCCAAGTTTATCAACACAAAAGTTTTTGAAGTGTAACGCCGAGCGTCACCTAACCATAAATGGCGAAATGAGAGAAATGAGAGAAATGAGTTTATCGGGCCCGCATACGCATTAAACCTCAAATAGTTTGTGGGCGTTCTGGTGGGTGGGGCAGGAAATTAAATCCATGTGTTGAGGCAGGCAGGCAGGCAGGCAAGCAGGCAGGCATTCAGCTATGCAGCTGGGAGACATCACAACAGAAACGATGCCGGCATGTGCACATTTTGGATGGGCAGCCAACCGCATTGATGAGCATTTGCTATTGTTATTGCCCTCGTCGAGTCGAAGTGACGGCGTGCCAGTGTTGCTGCCAAAAATAATCACAATATTAATGAGAGTTCGCTATTCGTTACTCGTGACTCGTGACTCGTGACTCGCTTGTAGCAGTRACACAGCCTGCGCCTGGGACAAGGGCGCTTAATTAAGCGCACAATGTGCATTCGAGAAATTTTGTAATTTCCTATCCATCAGCTACACGTATGCTCTTATCGCTCATTTTGCTCTGATGAATAGACAAGAAGCGAGTGTGCGAGTGTGTGCATGTGTGTGTGTGAGTGTCTCTGTTTGAGAAACAATAAGCTCTCTTCAATGTTTGCCTTTTTGAGCAACAACAAAGCAGCTCGAGCTAAACAATTCAGATATGACAATAGGCAAATGAATTGAATACGTTTAGATAGACTCTGCAAACATATCGCTCAGCCCCTACCTCTCTCTACCTCTGCTTCTGCCTCTGCCTCTGTCTCTGCCTTTGTCCCGCCCCTTTTCATATAACCAAAGAAAGCTGTATACAAATTCCATAGAAATTTCATTTTACTTCCACACAGCCCTCAATAGTGCCCCAATTTTCATATTTATACAGAATTTACTAATGTACCAATTTAATAGTATCTGGTGTAAAGGAAAGTATTTTACATACTGCCTCTTGTCAGCTGTGTCAATTATTTACTTCGGCTGCTAAACAAAAAACTTTGAGTTGTGTAAAGAATTTTTGGTTTCTGCATCTCAGGCAGGTGAAGTTGTGCAATCAAAATTATAAAGCCAAATTCTTGCCTGGAAACAGTTTTTGTAGAGAAATATTTAAGAATTTCTACTGATATATATTAATATGGATTTTAAATTGTAATTTGTTTTGATGTATTAAAAATTTATCTATGTAATATTTAAATTAAAATGAAAATCAATACAAATTAAAATTTGATTTTAATGCAATTTTACATAACTATTCTGCTGTTTAGAACAACATATTCAAGGGATAAAAAATTGTTTATAAATTTTGTTTCAAAATGTATATATAAATTAAAGTTTTTAATTTTTTTTTTTGAAACAAATTATTTAGAAATAAACAAATTATTAATTTTTTTTTTATTATTTAAAAAATATTTTTTCGGCCCTAATAATATTATGTATACGAAATATATTTAGTTTGAAGCTCAAATTGTGTTCATCAGTATGTGTAAAATTTATTGTACAGATAAATTGATAAAACATAATTCATTTATTTTTAAAGTAAATTATTATAAATTATTTGCACACTTATTTGGGTAACATATTTTTAAAGTCTTAAAACAATGTCAATGAGTTTAAAGTTCTTTATTAGTAAATTAAGTCAGTAAATGGAAGCCTATATTCTGTATTCTACGAAATTCTCTAATCAAATTTTCAAAATTAAATTCAATCAAATAATTTTTGTTCTGCCTTTCGCTTGAATGGAAAAACTTTAACGTGTGCATACGTGAAATGTGAAATTATTTTTCGTTGATATCTGTAGTGCAGTTTCATAAATTGAAACAATAATTCGCAGTTACAGTTGGGCAACATTGGGGAACATGCGGCTGGACTTGCCACAATTTACATGCAGCCCAAACAGCCTCCCGGCATTGCCTTCGCAGCGGGCCCAACGAGCCAAACGAATATATTATAAATGAATGCTGCATATTTGTAGTTTTTTGCGCAAGTCGTTTTCCCCGTATGTGTTTCTCCTCTGCCTTCTTCGTATTTTTGTTTGTACCCTGAGCTCGTTGAAAATGGGAAATCGAGGTATCATGGTTTTGTCAAAGTGTGTGTAACAGGTTGAAGGAGGCGTGGCAAATCCTATAATGTATATACATAGTATATGAATCTCATTTCAGAAATGTGTTTGAACTGCCTGCGTGTGTATGTATGTGTTTAGGGTATCTCCAAGTCGGGTGGAGCCCTGACTCTTACTTGTTTTTTGTTGTTTCGCGAATGTTTCACAGCCGGCTGTGATTTTTGGGCCGACTCTTTTTTGTTTGTTGAGGCAGTCTGTGTGTGGGTGTACAAATATGCGCAAGGGTAAAGAAAGAAAATCACACGACGATTTTCAATTGAATGGCGGAAATGTAACGGAAATAAATTTACATAAATACAATATGGTGCGTGCTTGTTGGTGCCATTTTATTTGCACAATATATATGGTGCATGCACGCACAAACATATTTGCACAGAGCTGCGTATTGATTTATATAAATATATATGAGTATTTGCTTTCCCATTCTTTCCTTTTTTTGCTTTTTAGATTTTCCATTTGGCACAAAATCAAATTGAAGTCGCAAACTTTTGGTTATGCCTCAAAAGGACGACTGTCTGGCTGTCTGGCTGTCTGACTGTCTTGCATGGCACTACTTTAATGCCAAAAACATTTTTGCCATTTCGTGACCAAAATTCGAGCACTATCACGTGTGTTACACACGCACACTCGTTTACACACACCTGCCTATCCAGGCAGCCCTGAGCTAGGGGTACGAATATTTTTTCCATTTTTCGTTTTTTGAGCATGCAGCATGCATTATTTGCATAAGATAAAGGATGAAAATAAAAAAGAAATGCTTCATTTAGCTTTGAACGTCTGCTAGATGCTCTGTAAAAGCCTTATATTGTATATTTACATAAAAATCGTTGGCTAATTTATAAAAATATTCAACCTATTAATGTTTGTTTTTAATGTAATATATATATTATTAATATATTATTTTTCGAATTATTTAAATAGGAATTTTAACGTATAACATGATCGTATAAAATTATAAAACCATATAATTCCGAGAGTATCATCACGCGATGTACGTTCTCACCATATTGAGCGGGCTTCGCACAGACCGGTATTAGTTTGTGGTCGCCTTTATGCTTGAATATTAACGAATCTCTGCCTTTGATGGATTCAAAATTATCGGAGTTGGTTATGTTAACGATGCCCTTGTGCCAGTCGTAGTAGCTCAGATCGGTTGGCTTCGGCTTGAGTAGCTCACGGCCCTCGAATACGGCTCGCCAATTGGTATGATCGGGCTTCCGAAAGGTACAGTCGTGTAGACTCTTCTGATAGTCAATGTAGCCCGATATATCGAAGCCACTGCGCTGACGCACCTGCAGAAAGATGATGGTCTGGCCAAAGGCGAGCCGAGCGATAGGCAAGTATACAATATATACATCTATATATCTATGGGCTTACCGATAGTTGGTGCAACAGATTGGGCTCCTCGCGGCGCATTAAGGCAGCTAGCGCTGCATCTGTGCCTCTGAAGTAGTCGCTGTAGTGCACGCTCGATAGGACCTTCGGATTCATGAATTCCAGCATCTTGGCTCGGATCTTATTGAATTCAGCTTCCTCGTAGACCCGGGCCGTGCTGCGATAGCCGAGCCGCACCAACCTCCTAACGGGTGTCATGCTCGATAGGTATCGATAGTCTTCAGTGCGAATGAAGGAAGTCAGATAGCTTTCGTAGTTTTCAAATTGCAGCAGGCGAAAATCAGCGTTGCCCGCCATGATGGATGACTTTGTGTGCCTTTATTAATATTAAATAAATTAAAATTATATTTATATTGGTTTGTATATGTATTTATGTTTATATATAGAGAGAGTTTCGTGTTGTGTTTCTGTTTTGGTTGAGTAGTTTCAGTCTCTCCTGTGGCTTGTATACCTTATTTTGAATTGTGTCACAGGGCATGCTGGCTGGCTGGCTGGTTGGCTGGCTGGCTGGTTGCTTACAGGCAAAAATGTGAAAATGTATTTTCTATAAAAGCCAAGCAAAAACTCACGACGATGAGAACGATGCTGATAAAGACAACACACACTGAAGAGACAAGGAACGTGGCCGCCTGTCGCCATTTTGTTGCATTTGCGACTTGTATGCATATGTATGTACGCACACACACACGCACACAGAGGGAGAGAGAAGGAGACTCGTCTGCATGCATGCACGCTTACATGTGTATATGGGTCCCAAACTCAAACGTGCAGGAAAAATTACATTTTCCTTGCACGAACATTTGCCACAACCAACTGCACGAAAATGCACAAAGATTTCCTTGTACTTGTGCGCTTTTTCTTTGCCCACCCCTTAAGTTTTGCCTCTTTTTTTTATTTTCACTTTTTTTTGTAGATCGTACTTTTGTTTTTACTCGAACGAAGGCGGAAAACGTTTTCCATTGGCAGCAACATTGGCGGACTGACGATATAGTGAACATTGGCCTGGACTCTATTAAAATGGAAATTAACAGTTAAAGAAAATGGGAGTTTATGATTAGCTTCCAATAAGATAATGAGAAATCGGTTATATACATATATTTATTATTAATTCAACATTTTTTTATCT